CAAGCTGTCTGCCTGCTCTCTAGCAATGATTCTGTCTCTATTTTGCTTGGCAGTTCAGTTTGCACATTAAATTCCACATATGAGTGAAATCATATGGTACTTGTCTTTTTCTGAATGGCTTACCATGATGTTCAATTTTGGAGGCATTTTTAAGTGCCTTCTCTCTCCTAGTGCTGTTAAGGAGTCTGTTGTCGTTCTATTTTCTGCTTCTTTGTGAAGTTCTGTTTCTTTTTTATTTCCTGAAGCTTGTAGCACCCTCTCTTTACTCACTGCGTTCTGAATTTTGAAAATCATGGGCCTTGCTTTTTGTGTCCATTATTGAGGCACTTGGTGGATTCTTTCTGTCAGAAGAAAAAAAAACTTTTTAAAATTGTTTTGTTCTTGATTTCCTAGCCTTTGTTTTCTCTTTTCCTGGACCTTCTATTACTTGGAGGTCTGGCTCTCTGGTCCCCGTGGGGTTTGCGGTGTCCTGTTCTTGTTTCACGGATGCAGCAGCTTTCCTGTTGCCATCTTCTCTGAGGACATCCATGTTGTGTTTTAATGTTCCCTTCACTCCCCATCGTTTCTCTTTCTTTTGAGTGGCCCTTTTTCTGTTTGTTTTGGTCTCTGACCCTCTTATTTGAGACTCTCTTGGGCAAATAGAATCTTGTATGTCTATGGTTTAGAGTAGGGAACTCTCAGAAGCTTGGAACGTCACTGTGGGGTTATCCGGCTGGGCCCTTTGCTGGGGGAACCCCAATCTTCAGATCCTCCCTCCTGAGCTCCCACCAAAAAAGTCTTCCAATATTTTGCCTCAAGAGTAAAGTCTGGCTGCCAGCCTTCTCAGGACCTAGTGCAGGAAGAGGGCTGGGGAGTCTCCATATTCTGTACTTCGTATGTCTGCAGTCATTTCATCCCCTGCTTTAATCCACTGGCACAGCGGACCAAACGTCCTTGATTTTATGCTCCCCAGAAAACAAACCGCAGCCTTCAACTACTGGGGGAGGAGCATTTCCTATTGGAGTAGAACAGGGGAAGGGGCTAGGGGTTTAATTGTTTCCCAAACAGGTTTGTCCACACCCCTTCCCTCCCACCTCCACCGAGATCTTAGCCTTTACTTCCTGAGCCTTCTCTGGACTCTTTGGGGTTAACTGGTTGGTCCTCCAGGCTCCCTTCTTTAGACGGGTGACTTTTTCTAGCATCTGTGTGGCTATGCCACTAGGATAAGGAAGAGAATTGGGAGAGAAGCTGCTCGAAGCCCAGGGGCATAGTTCAGGTGCAGAAATGTCCCGGCCGGTCTTCCTGGAAGTGGCCTCCTGCACGTGTCCCACTGTCGAAGCATCCTCTTCTCTGCTTGAAAGGATTTCCTCAACATCTGGTCTGTGACAACAGTGACCTGGCAGGCCCTCTCAGAGGCTGGAAGTGACTTTGTTTGGTCACCTTAACATAGCTACTCGGGAGTTTCCTCCCTGGCTTACTTTTCTTTTAAAATTTTTGTTGACAATGTTACAGATGTCTCCCATTTCCCTCCCTTAACCCACCTCCCTCCAACCTCACCCCGCCCCCCCCCCAACCCAGGTCTTCACCACCTTATTGTCTGTGTCCATGGGCTATGCATATTAGAATGTAAGTTCTTTGGTTTATCTCTGCTCGTCCCCCCACCCCCACACCTGGCTTACATTTTAGTTCTGGTGGAGGACCACAGCAACGTTGTTTAATGTTTGATTCATAAGAACACTAGGCTCAGCTGGTGGGTGGGGGTCTCTGAATATAAATGTAAACTTTCTGTAGTCCATTTCACTTATTGCCTAATTAAAAAAAAAATCCTCCCCCGGGAAGTGCTTTTTTCTAACTGGCCCAAGGGACCTGCTGGAGCTACTGGTTGCCCTGTTATATAAGCTTAAAGTCAGAGAAGTGCTGGAAGCAGTGGCATCAAGTTTAGGTGCTGTGAAAGAGGACAGGCCGAAAGATAAGGGGGGGCGGGGGGATGCAGCCAGCTCCCAGGGAGGAGCGGTGTGGGAAAGAATCAGGGGTCCAGGTGAGTTATGGATCATCGCTAACTTTTGTTACATGGGGTGCAATGCAAACCTCTTCCCTGCCCTCACCAAAGTCTCCATTACCTTAAAAAGCATCCTGCCTGGAGAAGCCACGTGTGCACACAGAGAAGATGAGCTCCGCTGCAAGGCCACTAGCTTGGGGCCACTTGCAAAAATGCACAGCATATTTTATGCTGTAAATTAACTAGCTTTCCAGCAACAAAAAGCTTCCTATAGAAATGGAGCTCAAGTTACCAGGCAGGTTCCGGCGGTGTCACAGATGTTTGAGGTCAGTGGTCATAAAGACTTGAAGTCCTGTGGGTCTTCATGGTCCCTCCCTGTGGCAGCAGATGAGAGATGGTATTGTTGTTCACCTGCTGTCCCCAGAGCTCAGCAGTGTGCTGGCCACATGTTCTTTATGTTGGGCCTGTGGAAAGACGGGTCAGTGAGTTAGATGACTTTCTGTGCGGCCTAGGAGTTTGCACTATTTAAGCCTATCTTAGTTTACTTTTTTCTTTTTCTTTTCTGAGCTGAATTCCATGGCTACACTAAAGAATGTGTTTGTGCTGCTTCTTTATTTTCACTAGGGTACCAGAGCATCTCGTGAAGAGCATAACTTGGCAGACATTGCAAGCTGTGAATTTTTGCCATAAACACAATGTAAGTCTCATGATCGCCCTTAAAAAAAAAAAAATCAGAAGGCTGCCTTTAAGCTGAGGCGGAACCTTCGTTCAAAGTTTATGCCATGCTTTTGTGGATATAATTTTTCATCCAAATCTCCTTAAGCCTGGTTAGGGTGTGTGGAGGCTAAACGTGCCAACCTAGCGATTCCTTCTTGTTCGGGTCACATGAAAGATGCATTTTTATGATTTATACCCATCAGAAGCTACTCAGATTTAAGGTAGCATCCCATCCACTTGGAGTCTGTATGGGTCTGCTACCCTCAGAAGGCTCTGAAATTAGGGAGAGGATCCCCTCGTGACTCCTGCCCATGCAGTTGCAGGAGGCGGAGTCCCACGCACAATGCCCCCATGCTAGTGCCTGCTTTGCTGAGATATGAGTGCCAGGTCTGGGACGAGCCAGCCCCGTGGAAGCCTGTGCCACTCCCGGCCACAGCAGGGCCTGGCAGAGGCAGTGGGCCCAGGCTCTGACTTCACAGATGCTGGAAGCCTGCTGCCCCTCCAGTACAGCACTGCCCACTGCCTGCACACGAAGCCAATTCCAGTGTTAGAGCTCCATCTTGGCCACAAGGGCAACCTGACTGCAGTATGTCGATCTACTGGCTGCTGGGGCCAGTTTAGCTGGTGGGCCTGATCTGCATGACTTTCCCGGACACTGCTTTCCCAGATGGAGGAAATAGGACAGTAGTGAGCGCTTTTCCCTACCGAGTCTCCACCTCGCTGAAGCTATAGTCCTTGTCAAAACGCATGTATAGAAGGGAGCGTGGGCGCTTTATTTATTTTTTTAAATATATTTTTATGGATTTCAGAGAGGAAGGGAGAGGGAGAAAGAGATAGAAACATAAATGATGAGAGAAAATCATGGACAGGCTGCCTCCTGAACGCCCACTACTGGGGATCAAGCCCACAACCTAGGCATGTGCCCTTGACTGGAATCGAACCTGGGACCCTTCAGTCCCCAGGTCGACATTCTATCCATTGAGCCAAACCAGCTAGGGCAGCATGGACGGTTTCTATTGCTGTTTACTGTGAGTGAGGCTTGGCGCTTTCCCGAGAGTAGGTTTCAGGATGGGGAGCAAGAGAGACTGCATAAAGGCCCTGGTGGGGGAAATCAGAGACACTAAGGACCAGTGCATACCACGGTTCCCCGGAGAGCCGCTGACCACACTGTTTGGCCACATGCGCTGGTGGGGGGAGGGTGTAGAAACTTGTAAAGAATTCCCAGAACAGACTAGGAGCACATTCTTGCTTACAAGTCCTGCTGACCATCTGTCACCATGATATCCACGGGTGTGCCCATTTATAGTAACATGTGAGCCAGTGGTGAAGAGTGGAGGGATCTCAGGGCCATTAATTGCTGAGAACCAGATAAGATTGTAATAAAATAATTCAGAAATTGTCTCCCCAAATGTTTTCCAGAGTCATGAGTACCCTTTGGGGGAACATTGACACTGCTCTCTCACCCTGAAGGTCGTTTGGAGAGAGTACGAGGCCAGGCCCAAGAAGAGCCTCTGTCCTCTTTCCAAATGCTAGAAAGGCAAGAATGCCGCAGGGTTTCAGCCGCAGCCGAAGGGGGTCTCTCCTGCAGAAGGAGCCAACATTCCTCTCCGGAGAGGAACAAGCTTGGACGAGGGCAGGATTATTTATTGGGAACCCTGAAAAGCATTTTAACCCAATTGTTTTTATGTAATTGTTAACCAAGTTGTTGATTTGTTCTTTGCCAAGAAAAGTATTTAATCAGAAAATCACGTGAAGATTCTTAAGCATTCTTCGAACATCTCCCTGTGAAACCATGTCAGCTGTGGTTTGGAAACCACAGGTGATCTGAGTCTAAACTGTGGGGTGGATGCAGCTCCGAGAACGCTTGTGTGTGGGACGGAGCTGACATCTAGCGACTCTCTGCAGAGGGTGAGCGCGGCCCACTCCTGTTTATCTTGTCAGGACACATGTCAGAGCTGGAAGGGAGGCCTCGCAGGAGGCTCGTGGTTCCGCCCTTCTCTTCCCAGCTTATCTCTGCAGGCCCAGCGCTCGTCCTGTTTACCAGGCGGACGGTGTTCTGTTCTGTTAAACAACTGAACTATGAATCCCACTTATGCACCAACCTGTGGCTCCAGCAAAGCCCTGTCCAAGCTTTTCCACTTTTCCCTTTCACGGAGGGTTGCCAGATTACACACTAGTACATGCCAAACACTACGTAAGACATACTTATACTAAAAAAGTGTTTAACTACAATGTAAAGTTACCTGGGTGCCCTTGTTGGTCCCTTTGGGACCTTCAGGAATTTAGGGTGATTCAGGCTATGATAGGTGTGGTACTAGATTTACTTCATGCTTATGTTTTGCCAATTTTGGTATTTTTTATCCTATTATCCAAAAGGCCAGTGAGAAGTTCAAACGATTTCTCAATTATTTTTGCTCATTATTCATGGGTTTTACTGATTCTACATAGTATAGTTGCTCTTTAATAATCTGTTTTGGTTCGATTTTTGTGACTAGTGCATACATAGAGATGTGAAACCAGAAAATATCCTCATCACAAAACATTCAGTGATTAAGCTGTGTGACTTTGGATTTGCTCGACTTTTGAGTGAGTATTGACGTTTCTCTTAAGTATAAATGATGGAAAGATTCTTTATATAATAAATGATCTAAATGCTATCGAAAGCTAGTTCTTATATATACTAAGTATATACTAGCTTACTATAAATTACAATTATGTAATTGCTGAAAATAGGTAGACACATACAGTAGTTTAAACATGTATGCTATAGCCCAGCTATATAGTACTTTTCAGAAGTACTATTTTAGAAGAGTGGTTTTCAACTTTGGCTGCAAGTTAGAGTCACATGGGGAATTATAACTATAAAAACTATACTGATTCCCCCACCCAGGAATCATGGTTTAATTGGACTGGGGTGGGACCCAAGCATCAGTAATTTTTAAAGTTCTATATTCCAAGTGATTTTAATGGGCAAGTCGTATTGAGGACCCAGTGATTTAGAAAAGCCACATGATGGGGCACAGCTGGATGTCTGAGGTCTTCCCACTCCCGGTTTTGATTCCACGTTTGCACTGTTCTCTGTTTCCCATGTCCCATCACTGGCCAGCTGGACCAAGTGACTACTACACAGACTACGTGGCTACCAGGTGGTACCGCTCCCCTGAGCTGTTGGTGGGGGACATGCAGTACGGCCCCCCAGTAGATGTTTGGGCAATTGGCTGTGTCTTTGCTGAGCTGCTGTCAGGGGTGCCTCTGTGGCCAGGAAAATCCGATGTGGATCAGCTCTATCTGATCAGGAAAACCTTGGGTAAGTGGTGTCTCTGTCCTACCTTTTGGGCAACTGGATAGTTTTAGCCACATCAGTGCAGGGCAGAGCCACGTTCCTAGTCTCACCTGACGCCCTTTATCATTACGAAGGAGGGACATTCTCAACGCCTCCTTTAAATGACTCCATTAAAGGCGTCCACATTTGTTTTAATAAAAAGAATCCACAATTTTGAGTGTGTACTATTGTCCAAAAAGACATGATTGTCTCTTTGGCATAGTTGGGATCAAGTGAAACTCTGAATGATGATCACAGCAACAGTAACAGCGTACATTTCTATAAGGGCCGAGCAGTTTACAGGATGCTGGTGTGTCTCGTTTCATTTATGACAATGTGGTCATTCATTCGTTGGTTGTCCTGACTCCAGCCTGCCAGGCTTGTTTGGATTATTCAGAGAAAGATTCTCAGCCTTCTAGGTGTCAGGAAGAGAGTCATTCATCTAATGTCACTTTGCTTGTCTTGCTTTCCCACCCCTTCCTTTCTTTCTACTCGTGGGGTGGAGGAGGCGAGGGGAGGAGAAGAGAGAGAAGGAGAGAGACAGATGAGAAGACCTATGAGCAGTGATTGTCCTCTTCAGAAGTCAGGAGTTTAGCTGCTACTCCCCTGAGAACCCACTTGCCCTCTTCTGAACGCTTGTAGCACCTGCTGTCTCCATGCCTTTTACTCCCCGATATGCTGTAAGCTGCCTGAGGGTGAGAGCGTGTCTTTCATGTCTATCTGTCCACCAGCGTTTCCTGTCTACATAGTAGGCAGTACATATTTGCTGATGGCTCCTTTTGATGAGACAGAGACTGGGAGCCTTCCAGGGGCACTCAGCCTTCCTTGCTGTGTTTCTCCTGGTGATTTTAGGACACCTTC